TTGAATATTCAGGAGTTTCGATTTTTTTTGTTTATCAATTGGCATGATTCACACATCTAATGACTCCCTGCGCTTTTCCTTTAGTTTTTCACATACTTGATAGTTTGCAAGCTAAGATAAGCTTTGTTTTTTGGCATATTTCTGATCTGTCTTATATAAAACTGTTTTTTTGCTAAAAAAGTTTATATCTGACAAGAAATTTTTATGTAATTCAGCATAGAGTCTAGATGTTTACTATAGAGTGATCAAATTCAATTTGCACTCTTTAGCTTTAGGGTGATGGTATGTTTGACTTATTGTTCTAGTCCTGTGATTAATTTTTTGTTTTAGACTAAGACATTTCTTTTAAAAATGAATATTTGCTGCCTAAACAAAATAAGATCTTCAATTCAATTGTCTTCGTTTTTTACTCTGTATTTTCTGAATTTTCTTTCAGTTCATTGAATAAATGTAGACCATAGATATACAAAATAAGATTTAACTACTTATTTCATATGAGAATCAAGTGGGAGCTCAATGTTAAAGCTCTTACGAAGTATCTTGTAATATTTCTCGAATGTATTATTTCGTTTTTCCTAATGAACACAAGTACGGAGTACTACTAATTTGAGCATTCTAGAAAACGAAATAATTTGCATCTTCATTTTATATGGATTAGTATCAATAAACTACTCTGTAATCTTTTTATATCATATCTGTTAAAAAGTATGATAATGTGATGCATTTTCTTGCATAACAAGAATATCCTTACAAATCCCCCTTATGTAGTTGAACATTGACTTCAATAAAACTTCCTATGGCCCACTTATGAGTTTTAAATTATTCATGAGCCATCCACAACATCCCTATTTCCATACCTTAATCCCCCTTTTTTCAAGGATGAAGATGGTCAACTTAGCAATAACATGTAGCTTTCCTACACAAAACTCTTCCAAAAAAATGCCTTTCAAAAATAATTCGTATCAACTACTTTTATAAGGTTGCTATCTTATACGAGTACTATATAAACATACCATCTTTTGCACCATCCCACCCCTACCAAGCCATATTCAGTCCAAATGGCTTCTCTTTCTTTAGCTTTGGCTTTCGTTCTCTCCTTGATTTGCTTCCCTTACTTGCTCGTAGCCCAGCAGCCTTACGGCGATAGTAATTGCCCTGTATATAACAACGCTTCTACGGCTCTTGGGTATGACTGTAATGGTGTGAATAGGACTTGCCAAACTTTTCTCATATATAGGGCTCAGCTAGCCTACAACACCGTCTCTTCCATTGCTTCCCTTTTATCTGCCAACGCATCTGAGGTATCTGCGATCAACAACAACATATCCTTAAGCAAGGCCTTGGCAACAAACACCGAGGTGATCGTCCCTTTGACTTGCTCCTGTGCAGGTAGGTTTTACCAAGCCAACACCACTTATGTTGTTCAAACAAATGAAAATTATTACGTTATAATTACCAATAACTTTGAAAGTTTGACTACTTGTAATGCTATTCAAATTCAGAAAGCCAGTCCAAATGTAGTAGATATATTCCCTGATGAGAAACTTAATATACCTCTAAGGTGTGCTTGTCCTACTAGAAAGCAATCTGATGCAGGGATTAGGTACCTTATTACCTATGTTGTCCAATCAGGCAATGCTATAGCGAGTATTGCTAATAGATTCATAGCTGATGTTGGGCAAACACTCGAGGCAAATGGAAAATCCGAGCAGGATTCTGTTATCCAACCTAACACAACCCTGCTTGTTCCAGTACAATTCCCACCCAATAGTACTGGAATGGACTATCCTCCTTATGAACCACCTCCGCCACTACCTCCACCATCAATTCCTCCTAGAGCTACACCATCACAACCGCCGTCTAATGGGAGTTCCAGTAAGAAATGGGCTTATTTTGGGGTTGGAATAGTTGTAGGCGCTGCATTTATTTCAGTTGCAGGAACCATTCTTTTCTGTATGCTTCTAGGGAAAACTACGGGGAAGAAAAATGATCCAATTGTGTCATCGCGAAGCTTTGAAGCACAAGAAAAGGCTATTACAGAGAAATCTCTAGAGACTGAGACAGAATCCCTGGAGTTTCTTGAGAGCATATCGAAAATAGCTTCCCTGAAAATATACAGTTTCAAGGACCTGCAGGCAGCAACAGCGAATTTCAGTACTGATCATTGGATCAAGGGATCGGTGTATAAGGGAAATGTAAATGGCAATCAGGTGGTAATTAAGAAGATGGATGGAGATGTCAGCAAAGAGATTAATGTACTAAACAAGATCAACCATTTAAATCTCATCACGTTGTTGGGAGTTTGCTTTCAGGATGGAATTTGGTACTTTGTCTATGAATATGCAGGTAACGGACCTTTGAGCGATTGGATTTACCAAGACAGCCCCGATAAGAAAACCTTGAATTGGGGACAAAGAATGCAGGTGGCTTGTGATGTCGCCACAGGACTGAACTACCTACATAGATATACAAGCCCACCACATGTTCACAAGGACATAAAGAGCAGGAATATTCTTCTTAACGACGAGTTCAGGGGGAAAATTGCAAAGTTTGGGCTCGCAAGGCCAGTTATAGGAAATGATGGTCAATTCACCTTAACGAAGCATATCGTAGGGACAAAGGGATATTTGGCACCTGAGTATTTGGAGAATGGAATAGTCTCTCCCATGCTTGATGTTTATGCATTTGGTGTTCTGTTGCTTGAGATGCTAACTGGTAAGGATGTCGCTTTCCTTTATGAAGGAGTTAAGGTTCACTTATCAGAGGTGTTAGGGCCTTTGATAAAAGAGGAAGATGGGATTTCGAACTTGAAAGATCTTATGGATTCTTCTCTTGGGGAGGATTACCCTGCTGATATTGCTTATACTATGCTCGTGCTTGTTGATCATTGCTTGAGAAAAGATCCAGGAAAGCGCCCTTCTATGGATGAAATTGTTCAAATTCTGTCCAAAACTCTGACAACCTCACTTATCTGGGGATCCAGTACTTCTGCTGGTAACTCTAGCTCATGATCATGTATAAAATAGTTTTATGTAGCAGCTGCTGCCTTTTCGTCATTCACCTGCTTTCAGCTTTAAGACCTGTATGGAATTCCAAGTAATTGTTTTGGTTCAACAAAAACCTCATGTTTAGTTTCCATTTCATTGGTGTATGTTTTGTTCATAAAGGCCTGTTTTTTGCGTATGATGAATTAGTTACCATTCTTAGGAAGGAAACCTATGTCTCGGTGTCATTCGTCGTATGTCCAAAGTATCTCCTAATTTATGTTTCATCTTATCAAAATAGTTGCATATATATGTACTATTAAAACTTTGTTTCTTTTAAAACTTCTCATTTTCTGACATAGATTTAGAAATAGATTCTCTCTATTTTCTGAGGCATTGGGAGATTGCTGGGGTCTGTGTTCTTTGTTAATGTTAGTAGCTATTGGTGAAAGACTGCTGTGTGAGAAATTTAGCTTTGAATCAAATTTAGAAGCTGTGATATATTTATACTGTAATCTTGTAGGTGAATTGACCTTCTCACAACTGTTATGTAAACGCTGTTTGCAGACTTTGATACCTTACTGTTAGACCAGGAGAATGACAGCATGTTGCTTAGCTTACTTGCTCCTCGTTCAATTCTGGTATTCGAGTGCGGGTTGGTTTTGCTGTCTAGTGAAATGGATAGATTATTACAAATCAAGAACTACATGTTGCTGATTTAATTGTCTTCAAACAATAGATTTCGGGTTTAGATTGAGTTGAGTTATAAAATAACTATACATGGTAAAAGTTGAGATTTATGCCCAAGATTGTTTCGCATTACTTTCTCTTATATTTCCTTCACACCTCATCTTGTGATGTAATTGCACATAAAATGAGGTATCTTAACTTGAGCTAAAACAAAACAATAAATCAGTAATTGTGGTTATCGGTTTTCTGAATTCTCGATATATTTAATAAACGATATTGTCACATAAAATATACTTCTTTTATCTACAACAATAAAGTTTTACATATTTAGAATTAGAAAATGAAATATGAATAAAACAAAATAGTAGATATGCCTATAATTTGCAGTCCGAGGTAGTTATATAATTGTTCCATCAGTAACATGAGAGTCATCCATCTACCAGCTCATAACATGTTTTAAATTAATATTTGTTGAGCTCTAATGATCATTTGATACCATTTTCAATAAATTTAATATAACACTAATCACTTTGTCATGATACTTCCTTGTTGCTTGTATCATAGGATTATTTTTACAATTCCCTCTTATGTAATTGAATACTGACTTTAATAACACTGTCAATGGACCACATATGAGGTTTTGTTTACCCATCTGTCAACTTACCATTCCCCCACATCTTTATTTTTTTTTGTAAAAATGGTCAACCCACCAACTTCCTAGCTACTAAAAAAAAAAAAAACCTCCTAATATGCCTTTCAAGCATTATTCATTTGATTATAAACTGATTCGGGTAATTATTTTTAACATAGATACATGTCTAAGTGTTTGACTCATCTATTTTGTGAAAAAAAATAAAAAAAATAAAAAAAAATTTGAAGGGTCGAAATTTCCTACTCATATTAGTTTTGAGTATATATCACAGAGTACTCATATTAGTTTTGATAGATATTATAGTTATGATAATATTTATTGCAGATTAGGATAATAATTGTATATATTTTGTACCCTAATCGTACTAGGTTTACGATATTTGTAAAACTCTATATATATTGATCAATTGTACACACTCCACATTGAGGAGTTTTCCCGAAATCTAACACGGTATCACAACTTAGGTTATAGATCCAAATTTTTTATTTTTCCAACTTTTTTGGTTTTTTTATTTGGGACCTTAGCTTAGCTTCCGCATTCTTCTTTGGTTAATTAATTAACCAAATTCTTTACAGCTTGTTCCTTCCACCTTGCTTTTCTGTTATTTTGTCTTCTAGTAAGCATTTGACTTTGGCAATCAGTGCTTATAATCGTATTTTCTTACCAAAGCAGCCATGACTAAGGACAGTGACCATCCACCACTGCCACCTCCACCTCCTCCATCGACGGAGTTTCACCCGGCTCTCTCTGTCAATAACATCAAGGACGCAATTCCTTTGATTCTTGATCGGGAAAAGGTACAATATTCTAATTGGGAGGAATTGTTTGAAGTTCTTGATCATGTCGATCCGAACGCCCCAAGACCGTCTGATATTTCTGAATCCCTATGGCTGAGTCTTGACTCCACTGTTAAACAATGGATATATGGCACTATTTCAGTTGATCTCTTGGAAACCGTCTTATGTCGTGGAGACTCTGCTCAAAAAATTTGGAATAAGTTGAAAGACCTATTCCAAGATAACAAGAACACGAGAGCTGTTTACCTTGAAAACCAATTCAATTCCCTTCACTTGTCTAATTTTTTGGACGTTTCTTCCTACTGTCAACAGCTAAAGAACTTGAAGGATTAATTGGCCGCGGTGGACCAGCCGGTGTCGGAGCAGAAACTTGTTATTCGCCTCGTATCGGGGTTTATTCACACCGATTTTGATACGGTGGCTACAATCATCCAACAAACTGAACCTCTTCCATCTTTTGAGACCGCAAGGTCACGACTGCTCCTTGAGGAGTCAAGACGTGCGAATGACCAAGGCAGCCAAGCTACCTCCTTCGTGGTGCAAAGCTCGATGCCCCTGCAAACTCCGCCGCACAGCAGTCGAACCAGCCACAACAGCATCAACGCTTCGGTGGTGACACCGGACCTGGTGGTGGTGGTCGCGGGACCGGCCGTGGTCAGGGAAGGGGAGGTGCAAGTAAAGGCCATGGTCGGGGTAAGGGGCGTGAGAACAACCAATAGCAGCAACAAATCTCTAATGCTCCTAATCCCCAACAAAATTGGTTTCATCTCAATCCCAACAATGGGGCCCAATGCAGCAGCCTCAACAATGGGCCTCAGCACCATGTTCATATCCTCAGCAAGAAAGACCAATTGGGCAGCCACCAAGGCCCAATCCAGGGGTCCAATATTATCCTCGACAAGCCTATGCAATGCAATACCCAATTATCAAGCTGCTCATCCATCCTTCGGGCCGCCTATGACACTAACTGAATTGGGTAATTCGTTTGCAACTATGACACTACCGCAATACAACTCATGGTACATGGATTCGGGTGCGACTTCTCACATGACCAATAATTCAGCTATTGTCATGCCCTTGTTTAATTTGAGCACTAATAATCATATTTTAGTTGGTAATGGTAGTCGCATTCCAGTAACAGGTTATGGTCACACTAAGTTGCCTTACTCAAAACCCCCTTTAGCATTATGTGATGTTATATTAGCACCTCAAATCGTTAAAAATCTTATCTCTGTTCGAAAATTCACTTCAGATAACTCTGTGTCTATTGAATTTGATCCTTTTGGTTTAACTGTGAAGGATCTAGGTACGGGAAAAATAATAATGAGATGTAATAGTTCGGGGGACTTATATCCTGTGACCACCAACACCAATCCATCTACATGTCTTGCCACTTCACTCACTGTTGCTGCCTCACCCTCTTGGCATAATCGTTTAGGACATCCAGGAGATTCAGCTTTAAGCTTTCTTAAGTCTAGAAATTTAATCACTTGTACTAAGGAGCATGACTCTATTTTTTGTGTTTCATGTCAATTAGGAAAACATGTTCGTTTACCCTTTTATGATTCAAGTACTACTTCTACTGCTTTTGAAATAATACATGCCGATTTGTGGACCTCACCTATTCGTAGTATTAATGGTCATAAATATTATTTGGTGTTATTGGATGATTTTACTCATTTTGTATGGACTATCCCACTTAAATTCAAATCCCAAGCTTTTCAATCTTTTTTGAATTTTAGACAATATGTTGCCACTCAATTCGAACGACCCATAAAATCATTTCAAAGTGATCATGATAGGGAGTTTGACAATGATCCGTTCAAATTGTTTTGTGCCACTAATGGATTAGTCTTTCGTTTTTCTTGTCCACACACCTCATCCCAAAATGGGAAGGCCGAACGCATGATTCGTTCTTTAAACAATGTATCTCGTACTCTTCTCATTCATGCCTCACTCCCGCCTTCCTATTGGGTCCATTCCCTTGATATGGCATATTTACTTCTATATGTTGATGATATTATTTTAGCTACCTCATCTGACAGGTTGCGTGTAGAGATTATATCTCAGTTACAAACTGAGTTCCCTATGACTGATTTGGGTCCTCTGAGCTACTTTTTAGGGAATGCGGTGACCCATACTCCTTCTTATTTGCTAATTTCACAGGAAAAGTATTCACAGGAGATTTTAGAACGTGCGAGTATGAGCTCTTGTAAACCTGCAACTACTCCAGTTGACACTAAGTCTAAACTTAGTGCAGATGTAGGACCACCTTTTCGGGATCCTACTTTGTATCGCAGTTTAGCAGGTGCTCTCTAGTATCTCACCTTCACTAGGCCAGATATTGCCTATGCGGTACAACAGGTGCGTCTTTTTATGCATGATCCCCGGGAATCTCATTATGATGCATTGAAACGCATTATGCGTTATGTTCAGGGTACCATTGATCATGCTTACATTTATATCCATCTTCTTCTCATCGTTTGATTATTTACACTGACGCTGACTGGGGAGGTTGTCCCGATACCCGTCGTTCCACATCGGGTTATTGCTGCTTTCTTGGGGACAACCTCATTTCTTGGTCATCTAAGCGTCAGCATACATTATCTAAATCGAGTGCAGAAGCAGAATATCTAGGCGTCGCTAAGGTTGTCTCTGAGGCATGTTGGCTCCGTAATCTCTTACTTGAGTTACATTGCCCTCTTCGACAGGCTACTATTGTCTATTGTGATAATGTCAATGCTATCTATCTTTCTGGAAACCCGATACAACACCAACGAACGCACCAAACATGTGGAGGTGTATATTCATTTTGTTCGAGAAAAGGTTGCTTTGGGAGAAGTTTGGGTTCTACATGTTTCTTCTAGATATCAGTTTGTGGACATTTTCATAAAAGGCTTACCACGGGAGTTATTTTTGGATTTTAGATCCAGTCTTGACTGCGGGGGTGTGATAGATATTATAGTTATGATAATATTTGTCGCAGATTAGAATAATAATTGTATATATTTTGTATCCTTATCGTACTAGGTTTACGATATTTGTAAAACTCTATATATATTGATCAATGGTACACTCCAGATTGAGGAGTTTTCCCAAAATCTGACAAGTTTTGAGTATATACCACAGGGTATTTGAGGTATAACGAAGATGAAGAGTATGAGTAACATAGCTTATAAAATGACCGAAGTGGCTGTCAATCATAATACATCATTTAGGAAAGCATACTATGTAATCATACAATCTTTCCCACCTCGTTCAAGCCAAAATCCAATTCAAATGGCTTCTCATTCATTAACTTGCACCTTTGTTCTCTTCTTAATTTTCTTCCCTTACTTTATCAAATGGTTTCTCATTCATTAACGTACCCCGTAGTACTTCACGACCGTTTATGCTAGTCCTGATCTTGCAAAAAGGACTGATCTCTAGAATGAATTAAGGGAATTTGCTAACTCCCACAGTAAACCATGGATGTTTGCAGAAGACTTTAATGATACACGTTTTTCTCACGAGCGTAGTTCAAGTTGCCCCGAAACAACTAGACGCTCAGCCCGATTCAACGAATGGGTTGAAGATATGAATCTCCTTGAAGTGAAATTTAGTGGCCCGGGTCATACTTGGTCTCATGGTACCTTTGTTGATACAAGGACAAGTGCTAGACTTGACAGAGCACTTTGTAATGGTGAATGGTCTCTGAGATTTGCTAATGCAGCTGCGAAAAATCTTCCCGCTATTCAATCGGACCATTGTCCGATTATAATTTCACCCAATGGCTTTGCTCCAATTTCCTCGATTAACAAATCATTCAAATTCCAAGCTGCTTGGCTCACTCATGATGAGTACTTTCGGAATTTTGTTGAAGAGAAGTGGGATAAAGAAGCCCCTCTTATTCCCCACCTTAATAAATTTGCGCAAGATTTACAGGAATGAAATCACAATGTTTTCCACAATATTTTCAAGAGAACCGTAATTTGTTGGCTAGGATTTCTGGTGTGCAACGGCATTTGGCTATGCAAAAATCTCGTGATCTTATCAAGTTGGAAGCAAAGTTGAGAAAGGAACTTGATGAGGTCTTGGAGCAGGAAGAAATTTTGTGGTACCAGAAATCCAGAGTTGACTGGATTAGAGAAGGGGATCGCAATGCAACCTTTTTTTTCACCTTAGTACTATCACTCGAAGGTGGAGAAATAAAATTATGACTATTAAAGAGCATGATAATGGTGATTGGATTCATGACAAAACAAGAGTTCAGGATAATATTGTGAACTATTTCACTACTCTATTTACGGATGAAGGTGGAGATGAGCAGGGCAATTTCCCTTCTGACATTTTCCCAAAATTTACCCAACGAGATTGGGATAATTTATCTCGACCTTTTGCTAAATGTGAGATCGATAAAGTCATCAATGAGATGGGGGCACTTAAAGCACCGGGTCTGGATGGATTTTAAGTCCTATTTTTCAAAAACACTGGGACTTAGTAGCCAACAATGTCTATTAGGTCGTGCTTGATGTTTTTGTGGGCAAGGGAATTCCAGAGAAACTAAACGAGACCTTCATTGTGCTTATTCCTAAAGTTGATTCTCCGGAATTAGCCTCTCAATTTAGACCGATTGGCCTATGCAATGTTTTGTGTATAAGGTCATCACAAAGGAAATTGTCAATCGCATTAAACCTATTATGCCGCACTTGACTTCTTGTAATCAAACAATCGGGTCGTCAAATCACTGACAATATTGTTATTGTTCAAGAAGTTATCCATACTATGAGACATAAACAAGGAAGAAAAGGCATGATGGCTATTAAAATAGATTTCGAGAAGGCTTACAATAGATTAAGATGGGATTTCATCCGTGATACCCTTCTTGAGATCCGTTTCCCTTGTTTATTGACTGATGTTATCATGGAATGTATCACGACGGCTTCAATGCAAGTTCTCTGGAATGGCGAACCAACTCAATCTTTTAAACCAGGGCGAGGTATTCGACAAGGTGACCTTCTATCGCCTTACATTTTTGTCCTACGTATGGAAAGGTTAAACCAGATAATTGAAGAATCCATCATTGCAAATCGTTGGCAGCCAATTTATGCAAGCATGAACGGTCCGAAGCTATCTAATTTATGCTTTGCCGATGACATTATCTTATTTGCCGAAGCTTCAACTGATCAAGCTCACATTATTCGTGAATGTCTAAATCGTTTTTGTGGTGCATCAGGTCAGAGAGTTAGTTATCCTAAATCAAGGATTTACTTCTCTCAAAATCTGACTTCGGAGAATGCTTGTGAAATTAGCCAAGCACTGGGAATCAAAGCTACTGATGACCTTGGAGAATTTTCAGGTATACCCACCCTAACGAGCAGAGTGACCAGAAATACTTTCTCATATTTGTGTGAGAAAATTTATAGGCGACTCTCAGGCTAGAAATCAAAATATTTATCTATCGCTGGTCGAATTAAATTAGCGAAATCAACGATTTCAATAATGAGCTCTTATGCTATGCAATCTGCGAAAATACCTCGTTCGATATGTGATGAAATAGATAATAATAATAAAAAATAAATAAAAATAAATAAATAAAAAGTGAGAAGGTTTATTTGGGGTGGGTGTGATGACAAGAGGAAAATCCACCTACTGTCATGGGAGATGCTGCAGTTACCAAAAGAGCAGGGTGGCTTAGCTATTCGGGCAGCTAGAGACACCAATGCAACCTTTCTCACTAAACTTGGCTAGCAAATTTTGACTGAACCAAATGCATTGTGGGCTCGTGTCCTTAGAGCTAAATACTGTAAAAGTCCCTGTGATGTAGATATGTTCGAACCCAAGGCTAACATGTCTAATGTATGGCGAGGTATTACTGCTAATACCAAGTTTATTTGCGAGGGTGCGAGAGTAGCAGTGAATCGGGGTGACACAACTCTGTTTTGGGATCATAAATGGGCGCTCCCTTTGCTCAATAGCCACTGTTGACATTCCCCAAGACATTGATGGTGCAACGGTGGCTGAGATGTGGGACGCTAATCTGGGTTGGAAGTGGAATTTATTCGCAGACTTACTTCCCTCGTTTACATTGCAAGAAATTGTTGCTCACGCATTAAGAGAGGATCCTAGCATGGGGGACCTGCTATATTGGGGGGGCTCTTCCAGGGGAAAATTTACAATTAAATTAGCTCTTGTTATTATTCGTGGCAGTATAGAAGAGCAAGCTAATGATGGTAGCTGGGATTTGATCTGGAAGCTGAGAGTTCAACAAAGGATGAAGGTCTTTTTATGGCTAGTGTTGCACAACAGAATCATGACAAATGTTAACAGATTCAAGCGAAATATTGCAGCTGAATCTTGGTGTAAGTTATGCAACAATATGGAAGAAACATCACTGCATGTTCTTAGAGATTGCAAGGCTGCCAAAGAAGTTTGAAGAAGTGTTGGAGGCCCTGCAAAATTTCCTTCTTTCTGGCAAGGTACTCTTAAGCAGTGGATTGTTAGGAATGAGAAAGTGCAAGTTCGAAATGATCTTTCCTCGGAAATCTGGCCAACCTATTTTGCTATTGTTGTTTGGTGGCTTTGGAGATGGAGAAATAGTGTTGCATTTGGTAACACTTAGGATATCCTTATAGATACTAATCAATTTTTGCTAGCAAGGTTTGAAGAAACTTGGAGGATCACGGGAAAGGATGTGACTAAGGTCACTCATAGCAGTGACATAAGGTAGGAAGCATATATTAGGTGGCTTGCCCCTCCTGTTGGTTGGCTGGCTCTGAACACAGACGGAGCAGCTAGAGGGTCTCCAAGTTTGGCAGGGGGAGGTGGCCTAATCAGGGATCATACAGGGAAGCTGGCATATGGTTTTTCTCTCAAGCTTGGTGCAACTAATGCGTTTATGGCTGAAGCAAAGGCCCTTGAATATGGCCTTGGCCTGGCTGCTCGAATACATCTTGCTAGAATTCTAGTTCAGCTGGACAGTCAAGCTTTTGTTCAAGCTCTGAACATCTCTAGTACATATTGTGGTGAGAGTGTGCACGTGGTTTCAAGATGCAAGCGTTTGCTAGAGGATACTAATTGGCAGGTAGAGGTTCATCATGTATATAGAGAAGTGAATAGAGCGGCTGATTGGCTAGCTAATCACGGTGTTTCTGAGAACAACTCCATCGAGTTGATTTAATTCCCCCCTATAGCTTTAGGGCGTATTTTGCACGATGATGTAGTTGGTGTGGCCTTGCCACGTCTTATCCCCCCTTAGTTTGTTTTATTGTTGTTTTCAGGGCTTAGTCCCCTCATTTGCACAAAAAAAAAAGGGAGAGAAAGAGAGATTTTAAACCTTATTTTATTTCAATTTCTTGTGTAAAGCTTGGCTTTTTAATTCCCGTCCCATTACGCAGTTCGTACATCAATTTTTTTTTTATCCCCACGAAATACATTCTTTTGTCAATTTACCCAAGATATCTTCCTAAATAAAAAATTTAGTTCTTTTTTAATAAATCAATAATAATAACTTAATACTAAAACAGACTGGGAGTGACACGTGTCACATCCTAGTGTTGATTAATTTTTTCCCTCCAAAACTCCTTCCCTTTTTAACCATTTTTTTTTTGGTGAATATTTGATACAATTATAATATCATTTCAAATCTTTTATATTATCTTTATTATAAAAATATTCCTTTTTATTTGGTGCTTATAATTCTTCCCTAAAATATTAATCTAACTCCTTTTTAATTATCTGATAGACGGAGTAACATTAAATTTTGCTAAAAAATTAATACTCCGTAATAAAATTGATTCATATTATTGATATTAAAGAAATTACTTTAAAGCATCACTTTTATTTGTTAGACATAATAATTTTCTTAAAAATAAATTACACTTACCGTGCATGACACGGGGCCTAAGCTAGTTACAACAAAAACAAAGTTGATTTGCAGAAAGACTAGAATATAATTTTAATAGCACCAAATCATCTGTGTTACAACTTTACAAGAATAAAATCTAAACGGTTAGAAACAGCCAAAATTTTTTTTGTCTATACTTCATGTCTTTGTGATCATCAATAATTCATAATTACATGACTATCCATGACTAGACCTGGCAATTCTAATCTAGACCCGATGACCTGACCTATGACCCAAATTGACCCAAAAACATCAACCCAAAAATAACTCGAAATTGACCCGACCCAGACCCAGACCCAGACCCAACCCAAAAATAGAGTTAACCCAATCCTGACCCGACACCCGCACTGACCCGAACCCGAAATAACCCGACCCGAAATAGACCCGATACTCGAAATAACCAGAACTAAAATTACCTTATAATTGAACTAAATTTGTCTGGTGCCAAAATAACTCAAGTTGTTTATCTTCAACCTTAGCCAAACTCATTAATCGAATTGATAGTTCTTATTATAACAATAATAAAATATAAAATTATTGATTTGAGTTTGATCCACAAATAACAACCCGAACATGATCCAACTTGATTTTGACCGACCCGAATATGACCCGAACATATTGACCCGACCCGAACATACCCGATCCGAAATTGACCCGATACCTAACCCAAGCAATACCCAAAACCCGAATTGACCTGACTCGACCCAAATGTTAATTAACCCAAAATGACCCGATCCGACCCGAAATTGACCTAACCTAAACGTCCCATTTGCCAGGTCTATCTATACCTATCAATTATTACGCCACTACTAAGGGAGATTAATAATAAAAAATTGACTAAAATATATTAATATATATAGTTTCCATATAAATTTCAGGTTAGTGGAGAGCTTGTCATTCTAGTTTAATAAAGAGGATGTGTCCCTGATATGTGACATGAAATGCTTAATGACAACCATGAAACTAGACCTACTTCTCATACAGGTTGGATTGTTGTTAATATGATTAAAAACACTTGAGATGGTCAACCAAAGATAGTTTGCACGATGAACTTCATAATGAAATATCTATCAAATGCTTTACCTTCTCCAAGTTTTATCCTTTGAATCTCCATTGTTCATAGCTTATCACCAAATACCGAGTTCTTATACCGGGCAAATAACCACCATTATCATAACAGCCTCAATATAAGATGTCAGCTTATATCGCCATTGGAGCTGTTGCTGGAATAGTTGTTATCTTAGTCATCATAATATCAGTTTGCTGCATGTCCTCAGGAAAAACAAAGACAGAAGCAGATATTCTTCCAGCAGAGACATTCGAAGCATATGAAAACCCTATATGGAAGAAAACAGAGGTTGAGCACCGAGAGTCTCTAGAAAGCTTAGCCAACATAGCCCAATCTATGAAAGTGTATAATTTTATGGAGTTGCAGTATGCAACAGATGATTTCAGTCCTGGTTCCCAAATTAAAGGCTCTGTTTACCGGGGTAAAATGAATGGTGATCTGACTGCCATTAAGAAGATGAAAAGGGATGTGTCCAAGGAGATAAATTCCCTGTCCAAGATCAACCATTTCAACCTTATACGTGTTCTAGGTGTTTGTTTCAATGAAGGGCGCTGGTATCTCATCTATGAGTATGCATCGAATGGGCCTCTGAACGACTGGATATTCAGCAATAATACCAATCAGAAGTTCTTAAGTTGGACACAGAGGATGCAAATTGTGCTAGATGTTGCTAGAGGGCTTAACTATATTCACAGCTATAATAGTCCTCCCTATGTCTACAAAGATTTTAAGAGCAGTCGCGTTCTCCTTGACATTGAATTCAGGGCAAAGATCAGCTATTTCAGCTCAGCAAGATCAGCAGAAGGACAAAAAGAAAAAATTGCATCTGAACAAGTTTACCTTTCACCAGAGTATAGAGAGAAAGGCCAACTATCAACAAAACTAGATGTGTATGCTTTTGGGATGCTAATGCTAGAGGTGCTCACAGGAAAGAAAGTTGCTAATCTATGCGAAAGATTAGATGGGAATGTATCAGATGTTTTCGTGGGTGTTTTTGATGAAACAAAGGGAAAGGATCGGCTAAAGAGCTTGATGGATCCTTCTCTAAAAGGGAATTATCCTTCTGAATCTGCTATCTCTGTAGCAAGACTAATCGAACTTTGCCTGAATAAAGATCCGTCAAGCAGGCCAGATATGGAGGAAATTGTAAAGTCTCTCTCAAAAGTGTTGAGTACGTCAATGACCTGGGAATCATCGCTGTAAATTCAAGGCAACAGTTTTGCAGAGCTTTCAGGGGACCGTTCACTGAGAGTACTTGCATCTCTCCCCCCCTCCCCCCCCCCCCCCCCCCCTCCTTCTATTCTTTTAGGCACCTACTATAGTTTAATTTGTAATATCAACATTTTTACATTTACAATTTTTCTTCCTAGTAGTTCAAAATTAATTTGGTAACCCACGGGAAGGAATTTTCAGTAATAAGTTTAGAAGGTAGAAAAGTATGCAACTTATTGCTGATACAGTCATATATTATGTCATTTCAACTAATAGCTGAATACAGAAAACCTTTATTCTTCAGAATTTCTCATCTCCAATACTTAACCAGCAGGATGACAAAGTCAACACAGCAAACAATTTTGCACTTGTCTCACATTCTATTTCTCTTTTGAAATAAAGATTTGAAAAATTGTGAGAATTTTACATTATCATGTTATAAAATGCCATAGAAGATGAGTCGCTCAAATTATCATCAATTGTAAGAAGTAAAATTCTGAATCAAGCAAGACAACATAGTTCAGAAATTGAGTGAAATACAGTCAACAGGCACAAGATTCAGAAGGATAAAAAAATGAGGTATCAGAATTATAACCTTCAAATCCAGGGAGAAGCTGCACATAAATCATGGTGCTTCATTTCAAATCAGTTGAAATTGACCGAAAAATACATATGATTCTCACTGAACAACACTAGCCAATAGAGCCTTGAAAGCTGCTACTATATAGCTTGTGTACATGTATAAGATCTCCAGAGCAGATATTGAACATCTGAACAGCGGAAGGAAGTGGAAGGATGTCATCTTGTTTCTCACAAGTCTCTTCAACTATAGAAGCTTCTCTTAGTCTTCCTTCCTTCCAAAGACCTTTGACAAGCAATGACTTTGTCTCACCATCAGGAACCAAACCAGAGTTGTTCATGTCTTCTAAGAGTCTCAGTGCAAGAGTAGCCCTACCATACTTACAGTAAGCACGGACAAGTGTCTTATACATGTAAGCATCTGGCTCTACACCACACTGTTTTACCATCTCAAATAGTTTCTGGACCGTTCTGAAATCACCCCGAACTGCAAAATGATGCATCAATCCAGAAAATGTCTGCGCATCAGGGTAAATTTCCAAAGCGTACATCTGCTTGACAGTGTCTATGGTATCGCCATCCCTCCCACACTTGAGCAGTGTGCGTAACAGAGAGGAATATAAAAGCACCATATCAAATTTGGAGAAGTGACCGCATAGCAATTTAACATAATGGAATATCCTTAAAGCAGCATCTCCTTCCTTGTGAAGACCATAGAAATCAATAATCTGTCTTATGGTGCTGAGTGTCAACTTAAGTCCTTCATCCATCAGTTTTAACAATATATCATGAACAAGATCAACCCTCCCATGGCTTGCTAATTTTGTGATCATCCCTGAATAAGTGTGAACATCATGAATGAATCCAGGTTGATGAGCAACCCAACAGAAAAATTGCCATGCTGTTTCAGGTGATTTGAAGTGCCTAACCATCTTGCAAACCAAGCGGCTTGTCCACACAAGTTTAGCATCTTCTAAAGCAGATTTGTCAGCCTCTGTCCAGTCCCTTAAGGCACTAGCCAAAGCAATCGGGTCCAGCCATGGCTTCAACTGAACATTTACAATGTCAGATTCACTGCTGCAATCATCAACATCTTCCTCAAGGTCACCACTATTGTGATTAGCAGCACATAACTCTATGTTCTTAATTCGACTATCAGGTACCATCTCTTTAATAAATTCATCACACTCTTCCAATACTTCTGCTTCACCCATATGTTGCAATAATGACAACATAGATCTTGGAGGTAGTATACCTTCCGTCTTCATTTCTCTAAGAAGGCTTTTCACAGCATAGTACTGTTGGATATTCATGAATGCCTCTATAAGAAGTGAATACTGCCTTAAGGTACGCTTAACTCTCATTTGTGGCAGTTTATAAAAAACTTCCTTTGCCTTTTCTACTTTCCCAGAGTTTACAAGATGCTCAATAATGATAGTAAATGTCCGTGAGTTGGGGATAGCTCCTTCTCGCATTATGCTACAAAATGTCTGAACAGCTTCCAAGTCCTTTCCCATTACGACATAGAGTCCCATGACTATGTTGTAAGATTCAATACATGGTCCTTTACGTTGAGCACGAAGTTCATCCCAGACACAAAGTACCAAGTCAATATCTCCTGCAATAGCATACCATCTCATTTGGTCCACATAACTAACAGGTCGAACCTTTGGGAATTCGCCAGCATTGATTGCATCAACAAGCTTTTTCAGCTGACGAGTACGACTTGATTTAGCTAGAATTTTAGCAATTGCATGAAGAGTATGTTGGGTATGAGAAAAATTAGGCACCTTTTTAAGGGCTTCAACAAAAGACAGAGCAGATTCAGGGGAAGGGGCAGAACGGAGGGCATTCGAAACTACAAACGAATCCAAATTCGGATTATCTAACAAAGGAAGAAGCAAATCAGATGATCCAGACCGGAGACTTAAACGTATCGAATCAATGAGTTTTGCCTGACAGAAGTACCTATTGACTTGATTAGAGACAGGTTTGTAAGAAAAGCCGCGAGCTTGATGGGTTACACTAGAAAACAGATTCTGAACTTTGAATAAACTCCTCCTGAACATTGGATAAAAACCCAAATCAGGATAGGATGATCTTACAAATACACAATGACAGCAGGTTTCAGAATTCTCACAGAACAAACATCGAACAGTTGGTGTGCACGAATGTAGCGAAACAAAATAACAACAAAGAAGAAGCTATCATACCAATAGTATATTGAGATAACTTCATGAAATGAATGTGGGGAAGTTTCAGATTAACCAGGGTTAATCATGAATAAAAGTACTTAAATTAAATTTGGTGGTTTAGGGCTCAAAGTTTGAACATTTATTTGAAAAGTTATACTCTAACAGATCAAAATCTTGAAAATATTTCAAAGATTTTTGGAAAAATCACAGTAATGATAATTTTGAATTAGGGTATTCTGGGTGAATTGTAAGTGAAGGAGTGCAAGGAACACTGAGCGTTCCCAGATGTGGCGCGAAAAAGGTTTTTAACTGACAGTTGCAAAACTGATACGGAGTACAACGGCCCAAATAGTTTAGGTCTTTTTTTTTTTTTTTTAAATGGATATATCGAAATCCTAAGCTTCAACTTCAAAATAAAAGAAAAGGCAGAATAAATTTTTGGAAAAATTGTTATATATAAGACCATCTTTTGGTCATCCGTAAAAAATAAGACAATTTTTAGATTATTTAATAATAATGCACCTTTTGGGGATATTTGTTATTTACAAGTTGTAACCTGATGGTGACTTATATAGTACTTTGTATTATTATGAAATTAATCTAAAAGTTGTCTTGTTTTTAGCGGTTGATCTAAAGATTGTATTACCTCCAGTTCTTATTACTCGTAACAAAGAAATATTTTATGTCTCACAAATAATACCCTTTTATTGCGAGTAATAAAAACCGGAGGTAGTATTATTTTTGACAATTATTCCTAAATTTTTTTACTACGTAATACAATTATCAAAGGAAGTCACTAATACAACTATACAACATACAACATAATTTTAGAATTTGTTATATACACTCGGGTGCACCGTACTCCCAACTAACTCAAGGTTAGTTTTTGCTCTTCATTTGATGATTAAATGAAAAACAATCATCAAAATGAGAACAAAATAGTCATGGATGTACAGTACATCCGGATATATATAACAATCTCTCACATGATTTACGCTAACATAATCCACTAACCTGTAAGGTGGTGGCAAAATAAAAAAAAAAAAAACAAATTAATATTTTTTTTTTTAAACCAATAGCAATTTTTTTTTTTTTGTTGTTGAAGAACCACTTAACAACTTCCATTAATGAATCTGTTAAGTGGTGACAAAATTATGAAAAAAAAAAAAAAAAAAAACCTTTTTAAGGTAGTAAATAAATACTTGTAATATTTTTTACAATAGTAATAAAAAAAAATGTGTTTTTCAAACATGGTAAAAAAAATATTAAAAAAAAAATCATAATTTTATTAATATTACTTGTAAATATTAGCAGCTAAAGTTAAGAGTTGACAAAATAAAAGTCAAATGGTGCAACTAATTTTTTTGGGGTCAAAAAATGCAACTAATTTAAAAATGCAACTACTTCACAATGAGGTAAGAATTAATACTTTCCTAATATTAAAATCTTATTGAACTCTTTTCTTTTGTCTATTGTGTCTTATTTGTCCACCTTTCAACTAACCCTTCATTTTAATTCTAATACAGCATCATAAATCTCAGAAAAATAAAATATATATATATATATATATATATATATATATATATATAAACACCCTTTACCAAATTGAAAGTCATTTTGTTTACCAAAAGATAACGTAAGAATCATTGAAGTGAGAAAAGCAAAAGCATTTTCCTTAAGCTTGGGCATAGCGTAAAATATTATAATCGCACAGGGTAAGTAGTTGTTAAGTCTTGTGGCACACTAATCAATATAATTAAATATAAAGGTTAAGTATTTAAGAATCCAAAATAAAATTCAGGAAAAAAAATAAATAAATAAAAAATAAAACACTAGTTGATATGGGTATCTTTTTTTTTTTTTTTTTTTTTTCTAGGGCAGTAATACATTTGTTTGTATAGTCTTATTGGTTTTTATTTTATACACCAAAATAATCACAAAAAAAGGAAAGAAAAAGAAAGAAAAAAAAAAAAGGGAAGAAGAAGAAGACTGTAGTACTCAAAAATCATATAGAAGAAATATTAATTTGATTCCTATACCCTGTAAAGCCTCTAATGCATTTCCAGTGTTCATTTGTATAGCAAGAAATTACACTTGGTAACAATGGCGTCGTGCCTCAACAAGGGAATGTCCCTGTATATCGTATATGGTCAAGAGTTCTCTTCAGTCCATACTTGCTTACTGCCTGGTTACCTATTCTAAATCCGTCTCCATAGGCAGGCGAACCATCAGACTCGATTTGGTGTTTGAAAAAATCACCAAGTTTCCTCTCGAACTGAGACCTTTTACCTTTCTTTGAAGAATTACTGCTGGAAGATGATCCGGGATCTGATGTAGATGAGGAAGAAGATGATGCGCCACTACTGCTGCCAGAACCAGCTATGATTTCAGATTCCAGCCACATATGAGCTAAGACTTGGCATATTCCTTCTTCAACCTCTGGTCTCAGGTTTGGGTAACCATTAAGCCGTAACCATGCATGCATCATTTCGTGAGCAAGTATGGATCCAGTTAACAGCCTTAAATCAAAAAAACCACAAGAAACCAATAATCAGTGACTAGAAAAATGGCAGCATACTTCAACTGGTATTTGACTACTTCCCCAAGTGCCTATCTGTCCCTAAATAAGATTATAAGAGGCTATTTTAACGAACAAGGGTATCCTTCTCGATGTAAACGTACGTTATAACATCGCTAACATGCCACAAAATAGGTTTTAGTTAAAGCTATCATTTAAGGAAATCCGGACACGCTAAAAGTTGCTAAATTTGAAGATGACCTATTAGCTTAACAGTCTAGAGAGGTATTTGTCACCTAATTCAAGGAAGAAGATAGTAGCAGGATAAAAAGTTACACTCTTCATCAAAAATTCAAAACTATTGCTCCTTCAACAATATATATTCATTCATAGAGAATCAGGTGAAGTCTGTGGAGAGGACTCGAGTACGTCAGATTCTCATGCAACAACCCCAAACCCCTAAAAACTGTCTTAAGAGCCTTCTTTATACTTGGGGGAGAATAGAAAGGTTGTTTCCTTCTGTTTCCTGAAATCTTGACATTTGAAAGTAGAAAGGTGATATGTTCACTAAGCTGCTAATCAACCAAGTTTATAGAATTTACTAATATTACTCGATGCTCATACCTGCTAATCCAATACGCTAATATCTAATGCTGGCACCAAATGCTATTAAATAAATAAATAAAGATACTGAACATATGACCAATAAGTTCCAACGCCTAAATATTTGTACTAATTACCAGAAAAGACCAGAGTGATCGTTTGAAGTAGCATTTCCTATGCATTAAAGACTAGAAAGTGGATTGATTAATAAAACATAAGGAGCACAACTGCCTGCAAGCTAAATTCCCAAAACACTTGGTCCCCTAGACCTTAGAAAAGGGAACATCTTGCAAACAAATAAGCATCATCCACACTTCCTAAGTATCATTACTTTATAGGCACATTTATATGACAGATTAGACATGAGAAGAATCAACACCTGGGAAGGCCATAGAGAATCAGAATAGCTGTGACTTCACAACGACGTATCAGTCGATAAGGCTCAGTTATCATGTCCATAATCTGGTGCCGACCTCCAATCTTTGGCCTCTTCAATATCTGGTATTTCCGTTGACACATGAGTTTGACATAAAAGACCAAAATACTCATATATCAGTTATGCATGGTGAAACATCTATCTTGATGCATCTTACCGTCCGCACAGTCTGTTCTTCTGAAAGGCAGAGTCCTCTGGTCTCCGGCATGTGATGGTGACCCTAGTAGAAACAAAAACAATAGTGAGAAAAATCATAACAAAATCAAGACAACTTTATATCATTTGCACGATAAGTTTTTCTTACTTGTTTTTCTCCTTCCATAGCCTCGTTGAGTGCTTGCCTCTCCACAAGGAGCAAGGGTACTTGCTGCTCCACTTTCATGTTCAACCCTTCATAAAATTCTCGAATCTCTATATAAAGGGGTTGGCATTCATTAGTATCCATAATAGACGAGTCTAGGCACTCCAGACATAACTTACGACCATCATCAAGTCCCAGATATTCTGTGCCCTTTGGCTGCACAAATGTTGAAAGTTTCAGATTGTGAGGCCTAAGAAACTGTGGAGCCTAAGAAAAATTTCTAGAAAAGAACTCTTTCTTTATCATCCTTAAAATTCAAACAGTTTGTTTCAACTTACCTCCATTCTTTCACAGCTACAACACCTTGGAGTCCTATCATATTCATGAAAAGGGCAATACTTCTGCATCCAGAAAGGATGTGCTCTATACTCGATAAGGCCAGCTGCATTTGTTGGAATCTGTTCAAACAGAAACGATGAAGAATATGACAACTATCTAATAAGCCACAAATGTAATTAAACCTAGCTAAAATTGACTTTCAGTATGGGCAATATATATGTAATATGTGCTCGGACATTCTTGATTCTTCTAATTCCATTCACAATCCATTAAAGTAACATCATAGTCTATTCTCACAATAAACATACTGAAGCAAAGGTGAAAAACAAGTTGGTAGAAGGATAAAAAGAGGTACGGCCAATCATGCAGGTCTTCTGGCCATAGTATCAAAATATAATAACAGGGAAAACAGTAACACAATTCTTTTTGTGGAGTAAAACCAATTCCATCTCCGTCATCACGGTGAAGATTCTGAACAGTGTTTGAATTCATATGTTACTCACAAATCATTACCCAATGCTTCTAATGAAGCTCCCACTCTTAAAAAGGCAGGGGGCGGATGTAAGCTATGTTCATCACACCACTCTCCCAAAACTGTCGCCTTCATCTTCCTTCATTTAACACTTTCTAATTTTGTCTCTTTCAAAATTATGTTACAAAACCTTTTTGGGTATGTGGCTTTTCTCACACTCTCTCCATATCACACGGAAAAAACACAATTGAGTTGGTGATTTATTATTTAACTATTTAAGTATGCCTCAAGGGTTAGATTGATGAAAGAAGGTGTACTTCCCACTTCACAGAAGAATTATGCTAATTAAATCTTGTTTGTCATGTATACCTCTTTATTATCTGTCCTCATTAAAAATTCTGGTGGCAATAGTGCATCTATTTGAAAGGTTAATTTGCTGGGAATCAGTGTAACAATGTAGGCTGGAGACTAAGCTAACAATGGCAGCCTTAGCACGTTGTATTACTCAACAAGGAAAAACAGTAATACACCTTCTTTCGAGAGGAAGGAGCTCTCCCAACTACAGACTTCTGTAATTAATTATTTTCTAATATCTCATTACAAAAACAAACCTCCTATTAATACCCCCAATTAACAGCCTATCCCAAGCTAAGGCATGCCAGCACCATAACAAACTAATAACAAACTGATAACAAACTGTTACAGCAAATTATTATTATACCCTTCTACCCCAAAATTGGTTATAACAAACATCCAGCTCAGCAAGCCTATAACAGATTCTTCTTGGGTCTTCTAGAGTATGTAAAACGGAAATTGGGCTCGGGCTGGTTCCTAGCAATACCTCCCACCCAAGCTTGCACCTTGTCCTCAAGGTGGAAATCAGGAAACCTGAGATTAACTTCATCAAAAAATTCCCAAGTTGCTTCAAAGGCTTGCAAAC